TTGAAAAATATCACTGAGTCAAAGAGGCAATGATTGAAATCCTTAGAGAGCTTAAATTTAATGAGACAGGGAAAAGAAGAATCTACCACAATCCACATAATAAATACATAAATGGCATGTTCATCATCCTTAAGATACAGCTAGCTGCTGGATCTGTTGACTCAGGCCTGTGATTCCAGCCCTCAGGAGGACTGGCATATGAATCAAGATACAAACAAACAAAACAAAGGATGAAGTCAGGGTGAGGCCTGTCCCTTCCTAGCTGTTAGGTTGACTTCAGGTTTTTGATGTGCCTTCTTGAGACCCTGCCTTACTTTGTAGCCTCCCACCCAAGGACAACAGTGGTTTTCGCTATGTTTCTTTGGTTAGCCTCTTTTCCAAGTCTCCATACCTCAGTGTTCTAGGCATCTATTTTTGGTTTAGAGATTCCCCCTGGCCACATGACCCCTTTACTACTTTCAATCAGCATGCTTCATGAATGTTGTTATGTACCTCATTGTTGCATTTAAGGTCCATCTTTTTTTTTTTTTTTCACAAGCCTGTGAGTTACATAAAAACTTAGATAATGCTTTAAAAAAATTCTGTGTTTTCTGGGCCCTGTATATGGCTAATCTTAATTGATTTTGTGAAAAGAGAAGAGAGTTTAGCAAAGTAGAGTAGGATGTGCTGAGGCCAAGGAGATTTGGGGTGGAGGGCACCGGGCTTAATGGGATCAGATGGGGCTGAGACCTGCCATGTAGGCAGGCTTGATTAAGTACTGAAACCAAGCTGAGGAGTTTGATCTTGTTTCTAAGACAATGGGAAGTCATGAAAATTTAAATGGATTTTGGGAAGATGTTCTGTTTTGTTTGCATTTGTTTTATTTTCTAGTCAGAGTCTCACTATGTAGCCCAAGCTGGTGTACATTGCCATCCTCCTGCCTTCAGCCTTGTGAGTGTTGGAATTACTGCTGTGCACCACCACATCTGTCTGCTAGTTTGTTTTGATAACATTTAATTCCTTAACAGTCATTATACTTTTAAGCATGATGAATTTAGTTTGTAAAATGTTAAAGTCATGTGAAATGTGAAATTACAGTATTTTTTAGCAAAAAGGTTTACCATGTTCCTGCGAGTATATAATGTTAAATAAAAGTTCTCCACCCCTTCTCCCAGCCTCTTCTGTATTTGAGCAGTAATTTAAGATGGGTCTTTTGTTCATACATAAACTTCCATGTGTATTCAAAACCATATTTCTTTTTGAATGTAGGTAAGGTCATACCATGTGTATTGCTGCATTCTTTTTCCCCCACAAGGCATATTAGGTACATCTTGCATATATAATATATTCAGCACCTAAGTTATCCTTTAAAAACAGAATTCTGGTTCAACATTCTCCTGCATAGAACCAAGGCCTTTGAGATTTTGGAACACATCTGGTAAGGCCTGGCCAGAACATGACCATGCCTCCACTCTTACTCATCTCTCTTTTCTGCTGCTCCCTTAGTATGTTTCAGCTCTAGCCTCATGGACCTTCTTTCTTTTTCTATATAAACATACTATGTTCCTTTGCAATCAGAGTTCTCATACATGCCTGCCTGTGTAAGATCCTTTTCCTCTAATCTTCCCATGACAGGGAACTTTTTTTGTTCTTAGGTTTCAAGTATTACTTCAGATGATGCTTTGAGTTGTGTGTCTCAGTTTTCCTTGTTACTCCTTCTGTTAGAACTCTGTTGCTACAAAATAATTATTTCAGTTTTCAATTGATTTGCTTGTTTACCTGATTTTCTACTTTCTTTTATGAGACTCCAGTAAGCTCCTGTGAGGGCAGAAATAGGTTTTCTGTACTGTTGATGCTAAGTATGTTTTGGATTACTGTCTAAATGAATGAATAAGAGTGTGTAGAACTTCCCATTCTTTTTAAAGGCATTGTAATATTCCATTTTAGTGATAACATTTGGAATATTGGTTTCTTGTTGAAAGCCTGTAAAAAGTGTTTTCTAAGTTTTATTGAAACAGCACCAACATATTGAAAACAATGAATTTGTTTATATACCTTACAACATGAATGTGAGAATGCTTATAGGATAACTTCCAACAAATAAAATAAGTTTTTTTTCTTTTTTTCTTTTTGTGGTACCAGGGTTTAAACAAGTAAGACTGCTAGGTCAAAAGGCACATGTTCTCAAACTGTAGCAGATATTGATGATGACTTTTAAAAAGCTCACATCATTTCCTATGACAATCATATGAGAAGTGCTTATTTACCCTCAAGTCAGCATGTTTGGACAGCATCATCATTTAATTTGCTAGATGAAAAATGGGATCTCCTTGTTCTAACCTGAGTTTCTGTAACTATGATTATGAGTGAACATATGTCATCTATGACTTGTTTGGATCATATATGAAATGGTATCTTTATCCAAACTTTTTATTTGTCGTTTTTGTGAGTGATTGAAGTTCTTTTTCCAGTTGTTTCGAAGTTCAGTTAAAATGTCATCTATAGCCTTACATGGAGATTAGACAAAATCACAAGACAGTGCCATTGACATTGGAGCTGGATGATGAGCTTTTCATCTTTTTGAAAGTAATTTTATGTAATTCAGTAATGAAACTAAATGTGTTGAAAGATCATAAAACTGGGTTTTTCTTGAAATTGATGGTAGAATTTTCCAGTGTCTAGTACATAATATATCCTTTTTTTTTTTTTTTTTTTTTGGTCGGTTGTGGGACTTGAACTCTGGGCTTGGGCACTGTCTCTGCGTTCTTCTGCTCAAGGCGAGTGCTCTATCGCTTTGAGCCACAGCCCCACTTCCGGTTTTCTAGTGGTTTATTGGGGATAAGAGTCTCATGGACTTTCCTGCCTGGACTGGTTTTGAACCGTGATCCTCAGATCTCAGGCTGCTGAGTAGCTAGGATTACAGGCATGAGCCGCTGGCGCCTGGATCTTATATTTTTGGTGTATGAGGAAAGACAAGTGAAATGGCGGTTTTGAAGACTGTTTGATTTTACTTGAGAGCTCATTTACCAGAAGTTGACTTTCATGGTAAAAATAATGTAAGTATACTGATTAGTTAAAAGATTGTTTTGTAGTAGCTCACAAAATTTGAGGTACATAAAGAAATTTAAGAAGTTTTGAGACATATGTGTGTGTAATGTGTATCTATAAAGAAGTGACAAAATATGACTAATGAATTCTGTGAATTATACTCTAAAACTTGCTTTTTCTTTCCAAGTACAAAACTTTTAAGAGTCAGTTTAATTCCTCTCAGATTATCTTTTTCAAATATGCCATTACACATTTGAAAGAAATACTGAAAAGTTTCTGTCTAGGTTTATTATAATCCTGTCTTCATCAGCCATCAGTCTTCCTGTAGTTTGTTGGAGAGGCACTAATTGTTCGCATTTGGCAGGTTTAACACTTCCTGACAGAGAGGCTATTAAAAGCAAGTATTCTCCAATAACTGTCACTGGCTGGAACAAAGAACCTTCCAACTCAATGTATGGAAACCACTAACATTCTTAAATGAGCCTTTTCATGGATTTTTATCCTTTCAAGCTAAAATTTGGAGAATGTAGAGTCGGTGAACACAGCAAGGTGTAATAAAGCAGTAAACCTTGATTTGGGAGGGGGTAGGGTGGGAGGTATAGATTTATCTCTTCACTTGAAAACAATTGTTATTTGGGAAATCTCATTAGCAGATGTGACTACTTAGAGTAAAAAAAGACTTAAAATTGATGTCGCTTTCAGGACTGCTTTGAACTTAACAAGCACCTATTTGTGGAGCAGACTAGCTAATGAAAGGAAATTAAATTTTTCTGACAACTTCCCCTGCCAACATCCCCTTATTCAGGGGATGTTATTAGGTACTGAAGACTTTTAAGGAAGATTTTTTTTTTATTACACATAAATAAACCAGTTATAAACATTCCTTTACCCCTTTAGGGAGGGATTCTGACATGATTGCTCTACATTTAGCATGTAGTTTAGCTTAAAAGCTTAAAAAGCAGCAGGCTTCACTTCAATATTTTGAAGGTTTCTAAAAATTTAGCAAACATGGGTTAGTGGTTTCAGAATACTATTGATAGTTTAGTTAGTGTCACTGAATTACAAAATTGTAATTGACTTACGGAGGCTTGGAGTTCACCATCTTCTTCATTGTTATATGGTAAATGTGTCAGGACTAGTGTATGCTGGTTGTGTTAGGAGTGAGTTAATGATCAATGAATGACTTAGCTTTAGGGGAAGTTTTTGCTTTTCTAGCTACTTGAGTTACATGTGGCATTGGTTGATATTTTCAGTAGCTAATCCTTACACCAATAAACTCTTAACCTTGTACTGTTTGCAAAGGTATTTTCCTGTTTTGGCTTCTTGGGAGTTTATTTCACTTTGCCTGCTTGTTAGTTGAATTTAATAAGTAATAATTTGCAATTGTAAAAATAAAATATGTACCTAAAATTGAAATAAAAAACAAGAATGGATAAAGACAGACTAGAAAAAGGAAATTACCAGAGGGATCTTTTTTAAACAATTGGTATATAGATAATGGAAATTTACTATTTTATTTCTGGAAAATTGAATGAGTTCCTCCCAAACAATAGAGAATCTACTCCCCCTGCTGACAGAACCTAGGAAAACATGATAAATAAATATTAGAGACAGAAACAAGCTGGCTGCAGACAAGCTTTAATGGTCTGATTTATGATTCAGTATTGATTGTAAACATCTACATTCTGCCATTAAATTCTGGCAACTGCACCAGATCATTGGCGATTCTGGTAGTGCTTCCTGCCAGCTCATTTCAAACTGCTTTGAGTTTCTTAATATAATAATGATGAGGTAGAATTTACATTCCACTTATGGTATTAATTTTACATTTCTCTGAATGAAAAGGGTTAGAAGGTTGTAAAATTGAACATTAAATGAATCAGAGGAGACAGTAGTGCAATATATGACTGCCCTAAAGACATTGTGCAATGCCTCATGGGATTAATGTTGAGTCTCATTTCCTGCTTTTACAGGATGCAGATGAAGCCGTCAGAATTGCAAAGGAAATTGGTAAGTTCTTAAATTAACTTTGGTAGGGTTTCTATGTCTTTCAGCAGATATGCTTGAGTAAAGATGTAATAAGTTTTCCCATAGAGCAAATAATATTTTAATAGTTTTAGGTTTCCGATTACTTGGTACATTGGAAGAATTTATCAGTTGAATGACTATATTCTATTATTAAAATGGACTCTAAATAGTACCTTAGCCATAGTGCTTTTATTAGATTAAATCACTAGCTAATTAAAAGAAGTAATTATCAAATCTTTAAGATGAGATTTAATATAAGTTAGTGTGTGTGTGTGTTGAGGACATCTGAGTAAAATAAAGATACGATTGACAAGATTTTTTCAAAAATTTATCTTTTCCTAAAATGTTAAAAATCATAATAATACCCTTGTAAGGGGAAATAAGAGAGAATGTGAGAGGATAGAATTGAATATCCTAAATTGGAGTTAAAGGTAAACTAAAGGCATATTTAATGGCTGTTGTACTTTTAAATTTCAAAACCTTGCATTCATCAGAAGTATTCTCCTTTCATATCTGCTAATTTAGAAGATGAGCAAACATATATGCTTGTCATTGATTAGCAAAGGTATTAAAAACCTTATAAATTTTATACATTAAATCAGTCTTTGTATACATTTGATAGAAATTTGTGAATAGGAGAGAAATTTTGCAATACTTGGAAGTCAGGGACTCAGATTTTTTAGCATCTCACACCAATGTTTCTGTAAATCCTGTGTCTTCATTCAGGGTGATTATTTAGCAGTCTTGTCTACCGTTGGAACACTTAATTTGGCAAGGTTTATGTATTTGTACTGTGGACAAATACTGATCTAAAAGTGATCACTTAGATCATAAAGTACGTTTCTTGGAAATCAAACAAGCGAGGATAGCAGTTCTTCAGTTATGTGAAAAGTTTGGCTGGTTGCATCCCTGTTTCTAATTGGACCTGGCAGAATTATTTCAGATTTGTTGATTTGTAAACATCTAAATTCTGCCATTAAATTCTGGCAAGTGTACCCAATCATTGGCAATTCTGGTAGCATTTATTAAGTAGATGTTGTTTGTTTATTTGTTTTGCAAAAATGCTCTGGGGTTAAGGTAAATCCATGGAAAATCTTATTTTATCTGTCTGTGACATCTCATTATGATTTCTTAAGAATTATCAACATTTTCAAAAAGTATTTCATTATTTAACTTAACAGTAAGATTTACTAGATTGCAGAAAGTTGCTGTGTGTGGTTTAAAATCATTGGCATTCTTCATGGCTACTGACTTTGAGTCGACTTTCCTAAAGTATTTTAGGCACATACAATCTTAAAAAAAATTCTTTTCCTAGTTGTACCTTATAGCTACCTAATAATGCATAGTAATACTACTGTAATACTATCTACATAAAAACTGTTTGGAGCCGGGTGCTAGGGCTCACGCCTAGCAACTCAGGAGGCTGAGATCTGAGGATCATGGTTTAAAGCCATGCTGACCGGGAAAGGCTATGAGACACGTGTGTGTGTGTGTGTGTGTGTGTGTGTGTGTGTGTGTGTGTGTGTGTGTGTGTGTGTGTGTGTGTGTGTGTGTGACCGGGAAAGGCTATGAGACGTGTGTGTGTGTGTGTGTGTGTGTGTGTGTGTGTGTGTGTGTGTGTGAGAGAGAGAGAGAGAGAGAGAGTGTTATGGGGCTTGAACTCTGGGCCTGGGTGTGGTCCCTCAGCTCTTTAGCTCAAGGCAAGCACTCTACCACTTGAGCCACAGTGCCACTTCCAGCCTTTTCTGCCAATATGGTGCTGAGGAATCGAATCCAGGACATCATGTATGCAAGGCAAGCACTCTACCACTGTGCCACCTTCTCAGTCCTAGCTTTCAGACTCTTATCTCCAATTAACCACCATATAACTGGAAGTAGTACTGTGGCTCAAAATGGTAGAGGGCTAGCCTTGAGCAAAAATGTTCAATGGATAGCACCCAGTCCCTGAGTTCAAGCCCTAGGGCAAACAAGAAAAACAAAAAGAAAACAAAGCTATTTGTAGGAGTTTAGAAAAAATAAAAAGGGTTTGAAAGACAATTTAGAATCATACTGCTGTTCCACATTTTAAATCGTGAATCAAACTCATGAACATTTCCTTTGTATAAATGGTAGAATGCAGATGCATTTACTTTTGTTTTTCCTTCCCTCTTTTTATTATCTGTAACTTTTAAGCCAATGAATTAATCACAGTGGACCTCTCCTGACTAGTTTTTATTACTTTGTTTTCTTCTTTCCAAATTGTAATGCTGGGCCTTAGCTCCTCTTCAGTTTCTTCCTGCAGAGGCCTCTTAAATTCAGTATAATTAGCCGGGAGCCAGTGGCTCATGCCTGTAATCCTAGCTACTCAGGAGGCTGAGATGTAAGGATCTCGGTTCAAAGCTATTGCGGGTAGGAAAGTCTGTGAGACTCTTATCTCCAATAAACTACTAGAAAACTGGACGTGGTGCTGTGGCTTAAGTAGTAGAGCGCTTGCCTTGAGCTTAAGAGCACAGGGACAATGCCCAGGCCCTGAGTTCAAGCCCCACGACCGACAAAAAAAAAAAAAGTACTAGGGCTATCAACTTATTTATTTATGTTTTAAAGTTTTTTTTTGTTTTTGTTTTTTGGTTGGTCATGGGGCTTGAACTCAGGGCCTGGGCACTGTCCCTGCCCTTTTCAGCTCAAGGCTAGTGCTCTACCACTTGAGCCACAGTACCACTTCCGTTTTTCTAGTGGTTTATTGGAGATAAAAGTCTCACAGACTTTCCTGCCTGGGCTGGTTTTGAACCGAGATCTGATGATCTCGGCTTCCTGAATAGCTAGGACTACAGGTGTGAGCCACCGGCCCCTGGTTACGTTTTTAAATTTAGCTTTTGGATTTTTCTTTCTCAGTCATCACAGAAACTTTCCATAAAATCTTTTCCTTCAAGTACTAGCTTCCAGAATAAATGAATATTTAAAGTTTTCTGTGTTTTTTAGTGATTTATCAGTTTTCCTACTACTTTTATTGGTAGATGTTATATTGTAACTATATAATGATTTTAATGAGCTATTAAGAATTGAAGCAGCTGGGTGCAGTGGATCACACCTGTAATTCTAGCTGAGATCTGAGGATTGCAGTTCAAAGCTAACCTGGGCAGGAAAGTCTCTGTGAGACTCTTAATCTCCAGTTAACCACTCAAAACTCAGAGATGGTGCTGTGGCTCAAAGTGGTAGAGCAAAAATGCTCAGGGACAGTTCCAAGGCCCCAAGTTCAAGCCCCACAACTGACCGAAAAAAAAAGAAAAAAAAGTTGAAGTAAACATTGATTCCATGAGAAAATATATACCTAAATTCTAAGTAACTGAATTATGATAAAACCTTTCACCCTATTCATTTGAGTTTCTGCTTATTCAATGTGCCATACTTGGCACTTTTTTACTGTGCTAGGGATTAAACTTTGGACCTTGTGCATGCTAAGTCATATACTCCAGCTGTGACTACATTCCCTGCCTCTGTTCATGTATTACATTCTCTCTTTAGTTTATACAGCTTTTCTGGAAACAGAATCTAAGCTACCGAAGTTGGAAATAACTAATAGGCATTGGTGTATTAGAGGACTTTTACATTTTAGTAGCTTCTATTTACGGAACATTTTCCCTCTATGTGCCAGACACTTTGGAAATGTTATTTGTAATTTTTGTAATTTGTAATTTGTAATTTTTGAGCTTAATTATTTTTGTTGACATTTATAAGAAATTAAGTATTAGAAATGGTAATTTGCTCAAGGTCACTAACCATTGGTTTACATGTTGGCTGTAAACATCATTAATTTTTCATTATAACTTTAGGTACCTAATGAGATTTCATGACCAGACTAAAATTTGAGTCACCACTTTGTAAAAAATACTGTAAAATACTTAAGCCCATTGTATGTGGAATTAAAGAAGCAGACAGTTTCTAATCATTGATTTGGTGTGAGACAGTGAAGACTTACTGTATTACTTTGTTGTATTTGTTTTTTAGACTGTCTTGTTTCTCTCATTCACACTCCTTACTTTTTCCTTTGACCTCTGAGTTTAGAGACACAGAACTATCAAAATCTAGTTTATCTTTAACCTCAGTGGTAGACAACAGTAATCAGTGAGCTTGAGATTTTTTTTTGGTCTGGGCGTGGGGCCTGAACTCTGGGCCTGGGCGCTGTCCCTCAGCTCTTCAGCTCAAGGCTAGCGCTCTACCACTTGAGACACAGCGCCACTTCCGGCTTTTTTTCCCCCTGCTTATGTGGTGCTGAGGAATGGAACCAAGGGCCTCATGTATGCAAGGCAAGCCCTCTACCACTGAGCCACCTTCTCAGCCTCTTGAGATTTTTTTTTTTTAACCAAACCAAAAGTCCTTAGTATAGTTAAGATTGATTCTTGAAAGGAGTTATAAATTTAAAACCTGTTTTTAAAAAAATGTCCATATTGTTTTTTGGCCTTTTTTACAACCACAAATCATACTCAAGAAACTTTTTCCCCTCATTCTATTTCCTTCCAAGCCAAAACCCAGGCTATGTCTTGCCTGCCTCTTTCCCTCATTCGAATATTCTAAGTCTGTTTTTTGGGACTGTCAGTTCTTCATTCCACATCTGTCCCACAATCATGACTCCCTGTCTCCCTTTCTCACCGCTCACCTCTTTTAAGGACTATGACAAGATGACAAGGATCCTTCCCCTACCCCCCACTTTTTTTTTTTTTTTTTGTAACACTTCAAAGCCTATCTACACATAGCAGGCAGCATGGTATTTAAAACTTTAAAGAACAACAACCTCATCTTGTCCTACCCTGTCTTTGCTTTAAACCTAGCACTTAGATAAAACCACACTTTCCTTGACTACAAACCTCATGTGAATTTGGTGTTTCCTTTCTCTCTAGTCTCGTGTACTTAAGTCACATTGGTTCACTGGAACACACCAACCTTCAGATTTTATTGAAGGAGGGAATCTAGGAGACCTGGAAGACTAGCTTAAATTCCTCTCTGTC